GTCAAATATTTCTTGCATCCTTAATGACATACTGAGCACAGTTTGAAGAGACATTACTAGAGCAGCAGCACAAACTTGACCTTCCTGGAAAAGTTTTCTTTGTTCGTATTTTCTAAATAGAACATCTCTAGGCCTTAGATATCCAAACATCTTATAAACAAACATGCTTCCAGTAAAATGTGTTGTAGAATGAGAGTTAGCATCTCCAAAAGATGTTCCCCCTTTACTGGCTATCCAGTTTGAGTAGACAGCCATGATCATTTGCACATAAGCAAAAATTTGAACTCAGCATGTTGTATTTATATAATTGCACACAAACATATAAGCACATGTGTATTAACAATAATAATCAAAGAAAAGGAAGTTATCAATTTGAGAGTGAGGGGGGCAAGGAAGGGTTGGGAAATGAGTTTTTGGGAGTGACTGAAGGGACTAAAGTGAGAGAAGAAATTATGCAATTATATTTAGATTAAAATAGATTGTTAATTTAAGAAAGAAAAGAATTTTGAAAATACTTTATCTCTCTAAAAATTCAATTACAGTACTTTAACTGAATGCACATATAGGTCTAGTGTTATTGAGAAAGCACTAGTGAAATATCAGAATCACATGTGGACATTTTGAAAACTGTGTGATCAGCAGAGATTCATCTAGGGATCTAAGGTCTTTCTGACACTGAGAAATTATATGTTTCTGCATATATTGTAACTGCTTATGCTGTATACCAAATTATCTGTTCAAAGAACAACAATCATTTCTCATCCATTTGACATTCTTATCAGATGATTTTTTTCCTTGTATGTAGATGTTTAGCTTCATTTTAGTTCATATGAAGAGTGTCTTTCTTCATTGTATATAGATGTTTAGCTGCATTTTAGCTATGTATTAAGACAGTGTTTTCCTTGTATATAGATGCTTTGCTACATGTTGGTTTATATCAAGAAATTTGGGTGTGTGGTTTGAGTTGATAGTAACACATCACCTTTTCCCCTAGTAATAGCATGAAATAGATTTCCAGCTAACATATTCACAAAGAGCACATAGCTGTCTAAAATGGATTTCTGCCATTAAGAGGGAATTGTCAAGCAATCAGAAATCCCTACTCTAGTGGAGCTTAGATCTAGAAAGAACAGAAAGGAAAATGAATGAGAATATTGCACACTAAGTGAGGTGGGGATGAGTACAAAACAGCAGCTGTGACAGAAGAAGGAGGGGGAACTTTTATGCATGGCATGTGCAAAGCAATCTGTCCTTGGGTCCTCTGAAAGTCATACCTGAGCAGAACCCTATGAGAAAAGAGGGAGCCAATCATGGCTGTGCATGGTTAAATTTTTCCAAGAAGCAATTAAAGAAATTTCTTAATTAATTTCAAGAGCATCAAGTTGAGGGCTTGACCAGAAAAGACCAAGGATACTCAGTCATCATCTGGGAGGAAACCATTCTGAGCAACATCATTAAAACAGCTCTGATAAAGCACTGTCACTACTATGTATCATAAAGCAGGTCCACATATGAGTGAGTACATATCATGTTTGTCTTTTTTTTTATTGGATTACCTTGCTCAGAATGGTTTCTTCGAGTTCCATCCATTTACCTGCAAATTTCAAGATTCCATTGTTTTTTTCTGCTGAGTAGTACTCCATTGTGTAAATGTACCATAATTTCTCTATCCATTCTTCAGTTGAGGGAATCAAGGCTGCTTTCAGTTTCTGGCTATTACAAACAATGCTGCTATGAACGTGGTTGAACAGATGTCCTTGTTATATGAATTTGCTTCTTTTGGGTATATGCCTAGGAGTGGAATTGCTGGATCTTGTGGTAGACTGATTCCCATTTTCTTGAGGAGTTGCCATACTGATTTTTATCATATTGAATGCATACTTTCAGGGAGAAGTAAATTAAAAAACTCTATCAAGTGGCATGAATTTAGCTACATAAAATATAAATTTTAAAAAGACTTTTGTGTGCTATACATTATAATGAGGTTCATTATGACAATTTCATAAATGTATGTAATGTATTATTATATACACACTGAAGAGCAATATCTCTTTCTCCCCCAGAAACCATTAAAACTATAACTTCTTGGGGGGAGGGGTCAAGGTCATGAGCTCTTCCATGATAGAGGAATTATATGAATGGCTAAGGTATTGTAAAGTTAATGGGTAGGTAATCAGGGCTGCTAGAGTTCAAGAATGGAATGACCTATAGAATGGTCATGACTGGGATACAGAATTCCAAAACATGTAACTCTTTTCTCTGGCTCTTACCCTCTTTCCAATATGCTGATATTGATGCATAACATATTGCCATTATTGCTCTCTATATAGAGAGAGCAATTGAAACTCAAATATGTGATGAATCCAAGGTGTTTCAGTGAGTGCTCACTTGTAAATGCAAATTTGATTTCATCTTTAGTAAGTAGTAAAGTTATATGCTTGCCAAAAAAAAAATAATAAGTGACACACTGGAAGACAAATGTCACACAATTTCAATTTTATGTGTAACCTAGAAATGATGAACTTATGGGAACAGAGAGCAGAATTGTGGCTATTAGGCTTCAATGTGGGTCTTTTAACAATGGGGAAACGATTGGTTTAAGGATATAAAACTACAGTTGGACAAGAGGCATGAACTCTCTGAAGTCTTGAGGTCCACTGAGAGCATGATAAATATGCTTGATAACAGTATGCTATATTTTAAAAGTTGTGAGTTAGTATATTTTAAGAGTTCTCAAAACAAAAATGATGAATATGTGATATAACATGTTAATTGGTTTAATTTAGCCATGCCATTGTGAACATACTGTACTGTGTATCATAATTGTGCATGACTTTATTTATGAGCTAAATAAATGAATGTAAAAAAAACAAAAAAAAAGAAAAGACCAAGGAGAGAGAAGCAGAAAGTAAATATTTTCACAGAGTGAAAAGAAGGACATAGAGAGACAATATGGTGACAAAAGAGTGAAGCAACTCTTCCTGTAGTAGAGCCTCTTCCATTGCTACCTCAAGGCATCTCTCTATAGATAGATAGATAGATAGATAGATAGATAGATAGATAGATAGATAGATATCTTTCCAATCAGCTTTCTTGAGAACTATTCAAATGCTGAGACACAATTACTTATGGGAAATGTATACCTGCTCACTGTAATTAATCAAATCCCATAATAAAAGTTTCAGTTCTGAGCCCTATCATTTATTTTTATTTCTGAAAGTTATGCTTAACACAAACTGCACTTGAAAAGCACCCTCTGCTACTGAGGGTCAACCAAGTAACAGAAGCCAAGGCCACGTGGACAGATGGAACTACAGAAGGAGAATTCCATCACATGTTTAAGACAGAACCCCTCCCAAAGCATTGGAAGCCCACCCAAGTGCAGAGTTAGAAGGCCTTTGATGAGACCTCTCAGGACAGTGATCATATTATTTCTGCAAAGGGTGTGCTAGAGGTAAAAACTTAATGTTTAAAGGGAAATTAATTTTTCTTCATGAGGAAATAACATGTCACAAAATCATATAGTAAGGTGTCAATTTGAAATTTTGTTCAAAACTTTCTACCTTCTATCCAGATAGATATTTTTTAACTTTAAATACCAGAGGGATTCTGTCATGAAATTTAATTTGATCTCTAAAACATTTAACAAAGACCAAGACGTGAAGAGAGCAGAGGTCAGACCCAGACACATGGGTTGGGAGAAAGAATGACACAGATTCCAGTGACAGGGCTTCACCGACAAAGGCAGATGAGTAGAAAAACACAGGCCCTTTGAAGGTGAAAGGAGGGTAAATCAAAGAAGGTAGTCTCAAGTATAAGAGAGGGTTTTCAGATAGCACATTTTAACAGAGGTGGCTGAATCCTCTTTTTGGAGGATATGAGGAAGCTGCTCTCTGCTTTAGAGAAACTGTCATCCAAACAATTTCAACATGGAGGGACAGGATAACCAACTGGGAGCCTACAGAAGTCAAGAAATAAAACTAAATTCCTAAGGACTTACTACAAGAAGAGGAAATAAAGTGAGCATAGTGACCCTAGGAAAATCAATTTCATGGCATCCCTCCCTTCTATATGCCTGTTTACTTTAATATTAACTTATAGCATCAACTTTTTACGAGAAATTAAAGGTTAAATATAATTATGTGATATAAATCCAGTTCTGTTGAGAGAAAAGTAGATATGATTCCATATATGAAATATATGAAGTTTTATCTGTGTGTGGGCACATGAGGAGGCCAGAAGTGAACATTGGTTGTCTTCCTCCATTTTTCTCCACATTATTTTTTGAGGCTGAGACTTTCATTGAACCTGGAAATCAATAATTCATCTGAGGTCACCAATCCAGGGATACTGCTCTCTTTACTTCCCCTTGTTCTGGGAAACAAAAATAAACTGACTCTTAGGTACATTCTGGAGATACAAAGTTAGGTCCTAATATTCACATGACATCTTCCCAGCCTATATTTGACCACAGGCAGCAAAAATTTTAAACAACAACACCTGACCAATAGTTTATTATGAGAAATAAATTATTTACAATGACACAGTTCCAATTTGGATGATGAGACTACCAGTAACCTAACTATCAATAACACCACTTAGATGCAAGTCTAATCCCGCCACAGTTCTCAATGGTGCAGACCTTACAGGGTGGATGGACATGGGATGTTCTTGACATTGAAATCACTTTCCTCCAGTGATTGAGATAAGAAGAGCAAAGCTTCATTTGTTCTCTTTTGAAACCAACCTTTAAATAACTTGGAATATTGTTCAGAAGATTCAGAACCTCATAGAGTTAGTTTGACCACATTTACTTCACAGCAGTTAGAAAGAAAAACCCATTCTTTTTTTTCATTTTTTCTCTATGTATTTATTATTAAATTTTTGGATTCATTTACTTACTTTGTTTATTAAATTTAATTTTAGTTTCATTTTACATTCCAACAAAAGTTCTTCCCCCTGCCCCACCCACACCTCTACCCCAGTCCAACCTCCCCATCCACTCCTCCCCACAGTTAAGGGCTCCCATGAGAGGTCGAAAAACTCTGACATATTAAGTTGGGGCAGGACAGAACCTCCACTCCCAGCCCTGTGTTAAGACTGAAAATAGGGAATGGGCTCCAGCAAGCTAGCTTATGCACCAGGGGTAGATCCTGGTCCTGATGCCAGGGGCCTCTCAGATAGCCCAAGCTTCACAAATATCTCCCACATGCAGAGGGCCTAGTTTGGTCCCATGGTGGCTCCACAAGATTATCTCATTACATGCTGAAAAACCCATTCTTTCTCAGTCCCCATCAGTAAGTCCCCATCAGACTCCATACCGATGGCCATCCCATTCCATTCCCCAAGTTCTGCAAGTACAATTCCATTTTTAGATGTATCATTAAGTAACATAATACTAAGGAAAACATATTTTTCTCTACTTCTCTTGTATATACTATATAAATCAAAAGTTAAAAATGTATTATCAGGTTCATACTGTCCATCCTGGATATTTTTACAGTTAATTGGCAAATATTGTTAAACTGTAATTCTACTATGTATTACTTATTTAAAGTTTTACAATTGATTTCTTTCTTTCTCCTGTATTCATCATCTTTCTGCTGCTGTGACACATGCTTTGTGTATTTTGGCTCCCAGTTTCAAGTGTTTATATCTATTTTCCTTAGCCTTAACATTGTTAGCCTGTGACAAGGGAAAACATCAAGGTAAAGGAGACACAACATAAAAGATCCAAAACCTGAAAAGAGAGAAAGAGGAAAGAAACAATATAAATCCTTCAAGTCATACCCCTGCAATATCTTAATAGACATTGAGCTGTAAATTCATCAATGAATTAATCCATTGATGAGGTTAGAGCCCTTGTGATCCAGTCACCCCTTGAAGACCTGACCTTTAAACACTGCTATTATGGGAAGGAAATAGTCAACAGATGAGCCTTCAGGGGACATATCGTTTTCAAACCATAGTATCAGTAATTTTAAAAGTTGCCATATTAAACTTTGACCCTTTTATTTCATGATTACAAAAATATAAATTCTTGTTATCTGTCATCCTTAGACACAAATGCAGAGACATTTGACCTTGTGGCAGTCTGTACATAATTTCTGTACCCTGTCACTGCAAACCACTTCCTCACATGATCAAATCACAAGAGTGGTCCACAGATGATCTGGCAATCCAAACTCTCCTATGTCAATTATAATAGAAAATTTATCTTCGACCAAAATCCGAGATCTTTCCAACCATCTCTAAAACAGGTCAATTGGCAGACAAACATAATTTTATATCAATAAATTATTGATAGTATCATCTTAATGTAGGCGGTCTATGAGCCATAAGCATTATAATGTTTGAAATTCTATTTGCATATCTGCTCTTCCATGATTCACGGAACCATGAGGGAACATGCTAAAAGTTTTTCATTATTTTTGAATTAATCTTAATTTATAACATGCAAGAAGTCATAAAAATAACATTTTAATTAATTTTCTTCTGACCTCATTGGAGATAAATTTACTCTTTTGCTTTTTATTATGAATTATTTTTGCCTTATTACTCTGAAATGTTTTTCTCACTAGTTTTAGGTATATTATTATCTCTACCTATACTATCATGATGCATATTTGTTTCATATCTTAATTAAACACTACATGAAATCAGGTTATGTCCTATTGTGTACAGATTAGACTGTCACATTTTTTATCCATATGAATTTTATTTTTAAACTCTATGAAAGAAGGAAAAATCTCTTGTCATGTGTAGCTATGTAACACTACATTTAAAACTTTTATTAAGTAGCTTTATAAACTTGAAGGAAACAAAGTCATTTTAAAGAAACTCTTGGAAGCCAGATTGGGGCTATCTAATGTGCTGGCTCATTTTCCTCTAATTAGAAACACTCTGGGAAAATCCTTAGGGGAGAATTACTATGGATGACAAGAAGCAATTTTGCTTTGGTTATCCAGGCCTTGTCTTCTCAATTAATTATACCCATGCTGGGGAAATTGTGACTCCTGAAGCAATTAACATACTCTTGGACAAGAGTAAAGAAATCAGCAAATTTAGTGTGGCTAGGTGACCTGACACAAAGAGGAACTAACTTCCCTATTAAATGATATGGTGAAAATGAAATGTAACAAGATGAAAAAAACTAATCTCATTCACATACAGTTAAAGAAAGCATTGTTATATAATTTATGGCCAATGTTTTAAGAGCCTAAATTTTAAATGGCATGGGTTTGTGAAGGAAGGAAAGGAAAGTAAGTGACTTACCTATCAGTGTCCACATCCAAAGGATAACATAATCCCTGTACTACAGTTCTTTCCAGGTCCTATGTCCATAGATGAATTTCTATGGGCTCTAATCTTGACAAGAGCACCTTGGGGCAACTTATTAACCACCAAATAACTTCCATTTCCACAACTGTGAAATCACAGTAAGTTTCTCTCATATTTTTTGAGTCTCTGCTATGTAGTCTGCTAAATTAAACCCCTTATATAGACCAGGCTGGCCTTGAACTCACAGAGACCCATTGCCTCTGGTTCGAAAGTGCTAGGATTAAGGTTCTCTTTAAGTGCATACACTAAGACACAGAACAAGGTAGAAAAGCTCCCCCCGAGGTTTGCTTTGAGCTTAAATGGCATAGTTGTCTATAAAGCTCTGTAATGTTACCTAGCAATACTGTTACAAAGAAGCATTAGGTACATTTTCTTTGGAATGATCTTTCATAATTTCACATGTGCCTTGCTCTTTTCCTTACCTCTGTGACCCTCTGATTTACACAGGTATGTCTTCTCTCTGCTCCTACATCTCTCTGTTTTTGACCATCATTTCCTAAGACTACCATGACAAAGCACCACAATTTCAGGCTTTGACCAGAGAACTGGATTATCTCCAAGTCCTGAAAGACAGAAGTATGTATCAAAGCATCAGTAGGGGCAGTCCTTTCTAGCACCCTGTGGGAGAATCTGCTTGCTGCAGGCTTCTCTCTGGTTTTGGAAGCTGCTGCTTTTGTCGGTGTTCCAGTGCTAGCTGAGGCAATGTTGAATCACTGCCTCCCTAACCACATAGCATCTTTTCACTGTCCATGCAGCCCCAGCCTTACACGTGCCTGATACCCTTGGGTCAGAGCTGGGCTCCTTCCTAATCCTGGATGACCCACTCACAGGTCACACTCACAGGTCACACTCACAGGAATGCTCACACTCATGGGTGTGGTCATAAATGCATGAGGACTTGAATGCATCTTTTAAGACGTCATGGGCATGTGCAACACACAAAATATGCTTCCATTTAGTGGTCACCATGGTCTTGGAGTCCCCTCTTCTCTTCCCTCCCACTCCATTCCCTGCCTTCTCTCCCCTATACTCTGCTTTTTTTCTTACCTCCTTCTTTCACTCTATTGTCAGTATTTCTATTTTCTACCATTTATACCTGACTTAATTTCTGTATTAATCTCTCTTTAAATTGTCAGAAAGCTGAAAATTTGATGTTTCTTAATGTATCTTTTTATCTCAGTAATGTCTTCCAAGTGAGATTCTGAGCATTACAGAGTAAGTGAATCATAGAACACCATAACCAGCAGCCAATCAGAGGAGAATGAACCCATTGTGAATGTTATTGTTGGAATTGCATATTTGTTCATTTAACAATCTGCCCATACACACACACACACACACACACACACACACACACACACACA